CCACCATGCCCACTAAACCATGTCCCTAAGCGACTCATCTACATGTCTTTTAAATACCTTCAGGGATGGTGACTCAACCACTTCCCTGGGCAGCCTGTTCCAATGTTTAACCACTCTTTCAGTAAAGAAATTTTTCCTTACATCCAATCTAAACCTCCCCCGGCGCAACTTGAGGCCATTTCCTCTCGTCCTATCGCTAGTTACTTCGGAGAAAAGACCAACACCCACCTCGCTACAACCTCCTTTCAGGGAGTTGTAGAGAGCGATGAGGTCTCCCCTGAAGTGATAAAGGTGTCTGTCCTATATATCACCTTTAATCTGCTGAGAACAACTTTGAAGTTTCAATCAGTTTAGGGTTTCTGGGTTGAATTAATAGCACTGGTCAGTCTATATGTTAGTTCTTCTGACTGACAGGTTTGTATGTTTAGCACTGTGAAGATTTGATAGCTGACAAGCTAAGTCAAGTTTTTAAACAAAAAATAAAACAACCTCAAAGCCTATTCTCAAGGGTTAACTGTGAGCCAATCTCGCATCGTTAGGATTATGGTTAGTGTAGGTTATATGCCCTGGTAAATTGTGTGTGGGCTCATTGAATTAAGCAAGGTGTTGCTATTGTAATTTACAATCTGAAAATCTATAACTGTGTTTCTAGTTGAGATTTGCAACTAGAGTGTGTCTGAACTTCAGTGACCTACCAAAAAAAGAGTTGACAGTTATAAAGTTGCATCTCTAGTTCAAAGTATCTTTCCCACAGCAGGCTTTGGAGTAAAATTTTCACGTGTACCTGTGGTGGTTTAACCTCAGCCGGCAACTGAGCACCACACAGCTGCTCACTCACTCCCCCCACCCCAGTGGGATGGGGGAGACAATCAGAAGAGTAGAAGTGAGAAAACTCGTGGGTTGAGAGAAAAACAGTTTAATAATTGAAATAAAATAGTAATAATAATAGTAATAATAATAATAATACACAAAGCAAGTGATGCACAGTGCAATTGCTCACCACCTGCTGACCGATGCCCAGCCAGTCCCCGAGCAGCGGCCCCCCCGGCCAGCTTTCCCCAGTTTAGGTACTGAGCATGACGTCACATGGTATGGAATGTTTCTTTGGCCAGTTTGGCTGTGCCCCCTCCCAGCTTCTTGTCCACCTCCAGCCTTCTCAGTCAGTAGAGCATGGGAAGCTGAAAAGTCCTTGGCTAGTGTAAGCATTACCTAGCAACAACTAAAACATCGGTGCCTTATCAACTTTGTTCTCATCCTAAATCCAAAACACAGCACTGTGCCAGCTACTAGGAAGGAAATTAACTCTATCCCTGCTGAAACCAGAATAGTACCATTACTGATGTCTGCATGTATGGCCATGCAAGTATGCTGGGGTACCCATAATCTGTCTTGGGCAGAGGCTGGTATTCCTAGTTTGGGCAAACATTGTGTTCCTCTGTGTGTGTGTGCTGCTTTAGCTTTTATTTTATTTTTTAACACTTTCCAAGGTGTAGGTTACTGCGCAGTCTTGAAGTTGCAGGAGAACCCAGCTCTGGTCAGCAAAGCGATTCAACAGGAAGAACTGGGTTTTCATTTTACTGTCTGTGCCATTTTAAGATGGTCTGGTTGTTCACCCAGAATCAGAAAGCAGTTTTCTGAGACTTTTTCCCTCCTTTGGGTGTGCTCTCCAAATAAGTAAGGTTTAATACCAGTTATCTCTTACTTGTCACTTAGTCCATATGTGGTAGTGGGCCAGTGAAAATTATGAAGAAGAAAACCATGTTTCATTGTGCATTTTTACGTGTCCCTTTCCTGCCCCTTTTAGTTTATGCTTTAAATGCGCAAGATAAATATTAAGTTTGATTTGCATAAGGTTTGCGCTTCACATCCTAAACTCTTGCAAAGTGTTGCAGAGTGCTGTTTTAACGGCTGTTATGCTTTGTTCCAGAGGTGTCTGTATTTCAGTGGTGGATATATTTCGGTGATTCCTGTTGCGTATAAAATTTGCATGCAAGATTTTCCAGATTGTGAAATGATTTTGCATTCCGCAGGGTAAACGTGCAGATGGGGTATTAGCTGTAATGGTAACACTGTTGCTACAGCAGCAATGTAGCTTGCTACAATGTAGCTTTAATGTCTTCTGAGCAAAACCTTGTTGATTTTTGCACAGAATTTGAAATTGTCTTTTGAAGCAATATTTTTATGCAGTTGAACATTAGGTATTGCTCTATGCACAATGGACTCTGCAGACTTGCAGAGTGGGGAACACTGAAGTTTGGTGCAGTTTTACCTAACCTACAGCACTGACTTAGTTCTAGTGTTACTTAGTTTTCTCATTTTGAGTGTTTTTAAGGTGAAATACTTCTGTTATTCTCCCATTATAATTCCAAATGGTAAAACCCTTAATCTAGGGTATCTTCTCTTGTGAAATGCCAAGTCTTGACTTTGTTAAAGTCTTAAGCAAACATTTTGAGGTTTTTTTTTCCCAAGTTTTACCACTGTACTTCCCCATTACATTACCTTGATTTCATACTGATTGTAGTCATCAATAAAAAAGCATGTACTGATGGAAGATTGTGCTTCTGGTGATTTACGTTAGATTTTCATAGTAATGGATTGGCTCATTTCTTTTAAAAGGTTTATTTTAAACCTCCACAGATAAAACTTAGAATGTTTTAAAGCCTTGAACAGCGATTTTATGCAGTGCTTAAAGAAAATCCTAGGCAGTTCACTTTATCAATACCCACGCAAGTGTCTGTTTTCATGAAAAAGCAGAAAATGAGAGATTGGGAAAAAATGCAAAAGGGAGTACATGGTTAACAGCATACAACTCCATGTATATTGTAACTTGTAGTAAGCACCCTTACTAACTGAGTGCTGACTTACAAGACCTGAATTTGCAGGATGATAATGTAAAATCAATTTGTTTCTGTATCTGTTTGAAAGATAGTTTTGTTATTAATACTGTAGAATGTATGTGTACTTCTGAATGATTTATTATTTTATTTGTTGTGTGTATGCATTAGGAGGGGATTTCTTAGAATATAGTTAAACTATCTGGAAAATTAAAGTAAATTTTGTTAACTTCTCTCCTTTTACAGGCTAATAACTCTGAGGCTGTTAAAAATCATGTAACCAGAACTGTAAGTAATTCCATTTTATTTATTTCTTTTTCCTTTACTTGGCCTGATTTTATTTTCCTGTTTGTGGCTGCTTGTTTTTATTACATCTTCACAAACTGTTCATTTTTAGCCATTTTCAAAGCGCGCACTTTGGTTTCTATAGTGTGTGAAATTAGCCTTTGATTAGGATAATTAGTGATTCCTCCCCTCCACCCTCTCCTCAATCCCGGAGAAGTAAAGAGATATATTAAAATCTCTTCATAGAGATTCTATTCAGAGGAGTTCAGAAATTCAAGAGATTTTTTTTTTTTCAGAAGGAAGAATATTAGTTCTTATATTGTGGTCAATATGCAGTTGATCCATTAGCCTTTATTTGTTCAAGTTGCTGTGCCATGTTATTTACAAAATTAAATGTACCTTCCCAACCCTTTATTATTATTGCTGCTGTAGTACTACTGGTACAAGTAGTATTAAATACATGTATTGAAGTGCAATAGAACCCAGTCTTCTAAGTGATGTAGAAATTTCTGCAAATCGAAGTATTGCACATTTCATTACTGATAGCACTTATGAGTATACTTTTAGCACAGTTTCTGTGAAGTAAGTAAGACAAAGAAGGAAAGACCTTTTGAAGTCCTTTGCAGTTGCCTTTTATCAGAGATGCCAAGTTTCTTTGATTTCTAAATAAATCATGGGGGATGCCTATAGTTAACTATCTGTTAGTAGGCAACTGTGATGCAGGTATTTGATTCACCACTGTAAAGATGAAGTTAACATTTAAAATGGGGCAGAGGGAAGGACTTGTAAGATGCATATGGCCTTCACTGATTCATTGTTCAATTCAAGAGCAGATCTCTGTTGCAATAAATGAGCATCTATTTCACAGTGTTAAGTCTTGTGCACGTTGCGTTTGCTTTGCAATGTCGTCCGTGGTTCAGTGCTGCAGGCTTCTGCTGGTGCCACTCTATGCAGGGTGTGAAGAGTTCTGATCCTTATATGGTTACCCACATAAGCAGGAGACCTTCACACAGGTTGCATTTGTATTAGCAGTATAGTTTGTTTACTTGGGGTGGCAATAAATGTTTCTGTACAACCGAGGTCATCTCAGTGGTTGGATCCATGCTATTACCCACATTGTTCCAGTAAAATTATAATTATTTCTAAGTTGCTAGAATATTTTTTATATTAAAACCAGCTAAAATGTCTAGTGACAAGATTGTTTCTCTCTTCACTCTTCCTTTAACTAGACAAATCAAGTAAAATAAAAAAATCAGAATAGAGCAAACTTCTTAGTTATCTGCATGTGAATAATTGGTTTTGACAGCTGCTTCTAGTGTAACAAATGTGAAGCACAATAATGAGATACATTGTGAGGAAAATAATTGCAGATCATTTTCTATTGTTAGTTGAAGATTTTAGCTTCAGTGTTACTTCTGAATACTTCAGAGGGTTTTCTGTTTGTGCTGTTTGCTTATTACACAAGCCAAGGTCATATATTTTGGGTTTTTTTTTCTGTACGCGTAGTAGCTCATGCACAGCCATTTTGAAGGCAGCTTTAATGGCAAGCAATGCTTTTTCAGCTGTGCCTTTTGTCCTATTACATTTTGCATTGGTTATTATTTGACCATTAGCAAGCTTCCTTAAAGTTTTCGTAGTTACTTTCCGTGGACCAGTAATACCCCAGGAGCAAAGGGTGACATGGATGAGGGGCAGGGGTTCACTGGGAAATAGAAGAAAGTTCCCAACTGAAACACAGTGGTAGGAACACCTATTCCTGTTTGGAGAAGAGAGGAGGTGTAAAGCTGCAAGGCTGGGGGATTCATAGGAAAGTGCTGTCTCCAGACAGTGGGGCTAGATGCAGCCATTGCCTGGATGAGGCTTTTGCAGCTCTGGTTCTGTGACCCACGTCTGCAGCACACATCCCATCTGTGTAGTGCTAATGGGAGGTGCGTTCCTTGTCTTCCTGCCTTCTCTTCCTTCTAAATTTGTGCCACGCTTGTTCTCCTTTTGGTTTATTAACTAAATTGGAAGAGACTGCTTTAACCTGCCTGACCCTTTTTCAACTCTGGAATTACTTCTCCCTTCCTCTTTCTTCTCTGCACCTTGTTCCATGGCATTTGGACCAGGAAAGAAAAGCTCTCTTGCTTTTTCCTAGCAATGTGACTGCTAATGGAATATTTGTAGCGTCAGCCCTTACTGCTTTATAGAAAGCTGTGTAAACGTGAACAAAGAGAGTTTGGCTTGAATTTGAGGTAGCGTCAGAACCAAAATTTTGTTAGCTTAATTCTAATGTTTGGGATAGCTCTGAGGCGTGGGTAATGCTTTCTTAATCAGGAAGTCAGAAGTGCATTTATTTACAATTAGAGGGCTTCCTCATGCCCCTATGGACTGGAATCTTATTTTATTCTTAATATTAACATATTAAAAATAAATAAACAAGGCTTCTTGTTTCAACTAAAGGCTGGAAGAAGTGATTCTATCACTTTCTAGCCAAGAATTGCATGCACATAACTTTCTGTTAGTTAATAGGGTGCTAAATTTGTGATGAAAGTTTGCTTCAGTTTTGATCTCTTGCATCTTAACTAGGTCAGAGAGAAACTCAGGAGATCTACTTCTGAAGTCTTGCCCTCTGCCGCCACATTTTTTCATTCCACTGTGGACATCACTGTATCTTTTTACAGAGTTAGGAAGTAGAGCACATACATGCAGGAACTTTGCATTAGGTGCTACTGAGTCATGCTGTACAGGACTTCTACAGAGCCTCATAACGTGGTAGGTGTAAATTAATGCGGAAACCTTTACACTCTGCTGTGTCTGTTGTGCTTAATTATATTACCTGTGGATAGTATTCATTCAGGAAGCTGTTTCAAAGCTCTGGAGTAATTATGAAACTATGCTACAACTGGAGCTGGAGCACATGTATTATTTTAGTTCAGGTGAGGTAAACTCCTTACCTAACACCTAATATGTAATTCTTAAATACAGCCATAGTAAGTTTCCCCGTAGGTTTGCAGCGGAACACAGTCATTCGAGTGTTGACATGACTCCAACTCACCCAGCCAGGTGTGTTCCTGTTCTGTGTGCGCAACAGACAGTGTTACACAGCGCTGCTTAGGGCTAGGTGCTAGCCTCACGAAGCTTGGTGTGAATTCCTAGTCTTGAGACACTGTAGAACTAAGGCTTCAGAAATACTATGGTTTTCCAAATGTGAATATGTATATCTGTAAAATTTTATATGAAGTAAAACATAAATTGTGCCTCATTCTCACTTCAGTATGGACTTTACATGCATTCAGTATTCTTTCCTAAAGAGCCCTATTTGCTATGTGCCTACTGTCTGTTATGAATTTCAGTTTTTTACAAGAAGAAAAAAGGATGGTAGAAGACCCAGCTGTACCAGGAACTTTCAGGCTGTGAGCAGGGCTGCTTTTCTGAATCTAAGTGAGTTGGAAGATGATCTTCCTGCCCCGGTTAGTTCCTTGTTGTCCTGGCAGATTGATAGGTGGAACTCCATATCCAAGTGCCCCACAGACTTGATAAAGATGAGCTGGATTACAAAGCCCTACAGTTAACTTGTTTAGGGGAGCCTGGTCTGTTTTGCCTGAAGCATTATAAGGACGAATCGTGGGAGCAGCTTTGCCAGCAGCTAAGAGTAAGGGTAGTTTTTGGCAGGGAGACAGCAAGCTGGGGTTTATAACTTCTGCAGACGCTGCTACTTGCAAGGGGCACATCTGTCCGGACTCTTGCTGTTAACTACACAGGGGAACAGATCATTATTTTTACAGAACACAGTGTACAGAACAAAAATAAAATGTACAGCCAAACAAATAGCTGTTTGCAGTAGAAATAATGATAAATCTCTTCTGCAGAGGGTCAATTAAAAAAAAAGATTTTTTATTAATTTTTTTAATATTTACTGCCGGAATAGATATGCAGTAACATAGACACATCTGTATTCACAAGGCATGAATCTTTGTTTTCCACATTAGGAATCATTCTAAAGCCAGAGGCCAAAAGATTATGCAAATTTTGGTCCTCATCCAAGACATCCAAATGTTTTTCACTGTAGCTTGTAAAAGCAACTACTGTGTCAGTAGGAATTATCATGGTGGAGCAGTCCAACGATCAGTGTAGTTCATTGTCCTGTCTTTTCTGCAGTACCCCGGAGTATATAGAACTGTTACACTGTGCTTTAGAATAGGTTAGAGAATTTCTTCTGATTCCTATCCATGGCTTGGGGAGTGAAAATACCATCACAAATTTGTTTAAAATGCATTCAGGTCTCCCGCTGATCGGTCTCTCTATTCATATTCTTATTTGTGGCTGTTTGAATGGTGAACAGTCATGTGGAAAAAAGTTTCATAAGCTAATTAAAGACTGTGTAAAAATGCATGTAATTTTATGACAGATTAGCTAATCAAGTTTTCTGATGCTTTTATCAACGTTAAAAATAGGCACAAATAAAATATTTACATCCCAAATAGATCCATGTCGTTCTTTCAAAATATGTCCTGATACCTTTAGGTCACAGATTACTCATTGATTTACATTTCAGATAGTTGTAGTTTCTACTCATTGATCCTTACACTTGTTAATGCTCCCATTCAAGAAGGAGCCCAGGAGAGAAACAGATGAGCTGCGTGAATACATGTCAGATCCTGGAGCCGTGAGTTTTCAGTAGTGCTGTCCCTCAGAGGAGCGCATAGTTGATGTACAGCTGTCTCAGCTGTTTCAAACAACCCGGTCCTTGAAACCAGTAGTTCTTATATTCTGCTGAGATCGCTTTTTGTATTATTATTGATATTGTATTATTATATTATAGTTCAATGCCGGGAACAGGGCCTTGGGAAGGGCTGCTGAACGATTTTTCATTTGGCTTCCTTAGCCTGCCTTTGATTATAATCTCAAAAGGGGTAAGTCATTATCCCACCTGGTATTTCTAAGCCCATGTGTGGCCTACATGTCTAGTTTTACTTTGGTATTGGAAACTAGCAGTTTACATACTAGGTTTTTGATTTTTTTTTTCCTTCCAGAGCTGTCATATAAAAGATAGTAAGTCAGCATACTGACAAAATGCAAATTAATTTATCTGGGGCAAAACTGATCTCCCTTTACCCTTTGTCCCTTCCGTAATCTTTCTGGTCTCTGAAGCTCTACTGCAGAGGACTTTAGCCTATGAAGTGTGTAAGCCTGCTAGCTGTGACCCAAGTTCCCTTATTCAGTTCTTGGAAAGGTTGAGGATGATCATCTTGCTAAGAGATACGGTTGTTTTGTTTGTTTGTTTGTTTTATACAGGCATTATTTTTTACTTGATTGTCCCCATTTCTTTCCTTGAGAGGCATACTTTTGTCATAGGCGAGGGGATGCAGGCTTAGCAGAGAGGTTATTTCTTATTCCTTCTGTTTCCGGACTAGTGCAGAAGGTGTCTCAAAGCCACCTCAGTGCCACACTGTGTGAGATGGCCTGTATTATACCTGTGTCATGTTTTTGCTCTGAAGCTGTGGAGAGACTGGAAGAGAGATTGTAAAGGTATGAGATGCAGCCAGCTGCCTGGGACAGCACAAGCTTGCTATTTGAGGCAGACCAGGTAACCCATAAGCAGGTCACCCGTTTTGGTGTCAGAGGAAGGTGAATAAACAGGACTGATCTCAAAAGCCTGTTTTGTCCAAGCTGGGCTTTAGTTGCTGTCTTGCTCACTTTCTACGCTTTCGTTGACAGCAGGCTGTGCTGGGAAACTTACCTTCTAGTGGCTGTTGTGACCTGGTGAAAATGATGTAGAATTAAATATGGGCCTGTTTCTTAGCTTCTGTATCACACCTAGGCTGCACTGGACTGTGGGATGGTCTTGTCTGAGGACTGCATTTTTCAGAAAGTTGGGATAGCAAGCTCTGCAGTGTGCCCGGGACTAGATGCAGGAGCCAAAGACGGTAAAAGATGCACTAAGGAGGATGTCAGAGGGAAGAGTTGCATGGCTTGAGTTTTCACTGGAAAAGGGCAATGACGCAGTATCTTGGATGCAATCAATTTGCTCGTTAATATCATTCTGTGGCTAGAGAGAAGACAGTTGTCTTTTGAGAAGCAATTGCTTCCCCCTGCTGGCTTTCATACAACAATTGCAGCTAAATTTGACCAAAAGGCTCTTTGTGCTTGTTTGCATAGGGATAACTTTTATGTGTTATTGTTTGGGATTGATCTGTTTGTTTGGGATATAATAATTCCTTAAAACTGAATGAATAGGTAAATGGGAGGTGTTTTCTTTTTTCAAAACTCTGCTTCTCAAATGACTGATTATACTGTCTGCATTGCCAGGCAGTCCCAGGGAAGCAGGGGAACAAGAATCGTGGGGAGAAGCTCCAGGAAGAAAAATCTCAGGGTGGTCTGTCCTACTGGCAACGAATCAAGTGCTAGTTCCACTGGATCTATCCTAGTTACAACTCTAAATTTTTAGTCAGGTGTGATTAAACACCCCATTTTGAGCCATTATTTTTTGTTCCCCTTCATCTTCCCTACTGCTCTTGGTTGACGGGAAAGGAAAATCCTATCTAGTTTTGCAAGATTTTCTGTGTAATTGTCCATCCTGGGAGATGCCGGATGGTGTTTGCTGTCTTGGAAGATTGGCCAAATGTTTTGCCATTTTCCCTCCAGTGTGCAGGAAGGCAGAAAATAGTGGGTTTTTTTTGTTTGGATGGAGATGATTTGCCTTTATGGATAGTCTGCCCTGTGCCATTGAATCCTGTGCTTTGATGAAACTCGTATTCTGCTGGTAGGTGTGTTTGACTTGGTCCAGAATGAAGAAGAATCCCTTCTTATCGGTGATATGACCCTGAAACCACACAAATGTTGGGAAAAAAAGAGAGGCAGTCACAGAAGTTCAAGATTGGTTTTAATTGACTATTAAATTTGAATTCAGTCAGAAGCATGGTAAGATACGTCTCACCTTTACAGATTGCCTGTTGTGAGAAATGGTGTAACAGCTTCTTCATGTGTTTGAGAACACGTTTTATGCGTGTGTGCATATATGATATGTGTTTCATCAAACCTTTAAAAACCCTTTTCAGTAACCATTTTGCCTCTGTAGTAAGTCATGTATTAAATCTTTGCTGAATTTTGCTAAATATTTTAGTTGTGAGGGGAAAAGTTACTGGTGTAGTCACTGATAATTAGAAAACAAAACAAATAGTAAAAAGAAAAACTGAAGAAAAAAGAATGCATCGCTAGCTACAACATAATTAAACCATAGAAGAGAGGAGGAAGTGACTCTAATCTAGAGGACATGCAGAAAAATGGAGGTGTGTCCTTGACTGTCCATTTGCCAACAAGTCATTGACTGTATTCAACATATAATGTACAAGGTGATCTTGACCTTATGAAGGGTTAAGTAAAATTTAGTAGTTTGGTGCACCATAGATAGGCAATGGGACGTTTCATGGTCTGGATCAGAGTATCTTTTGAAGATGGTAGGGTTCTGTTGATTTTGTATAGAGTTTGTATAAAAGCGTACCCATAATGACAGACTGAAGAGTATTGCAGCTATTCAAGACCATGCAATGAAATGTGATACCCAGATGAGATTTCAGAAGAAGAGTCCTTTTAAACTGATATATTTATATTTTTATATGTGCAACCAATCAGCTAGAGTTTTTAAACTGTATTATAGGTACTTGAAGAAAATCTGCTTTCAAACAACACTGGTAATTTAAGTTTTAAGTTGTACCAGCTGTTGAATTGTAGGAGTTGTCAGGATTATCCATTTTTGTACACAGAGCAGGAAAGCGTATATAGTACTGTGCATTTCAGTAGGTGACACGGCATGCATACAGTAAATATAGATGTCACTATCAGGGTTTTTTTCTGCTAATGTTTTGCATTATGTTATTGTTCATATGCTTATGCACTGCATGCTACTAGGTTATATGCTAGTTTATATGCTACAACAGTGTGCAATAGAGAATGATTTTATCACTTATTTTCTTACCAGAGGAAGCCGCTAGGCAAGTGATTATTCAGGTTACATGGAGATCTAGTCTTAAAATTTATTAAAAAATGGTGGAAGTACTCCTTAAGCAATGGATACATCTGCGTGGCCAACAGAGACCAAGGAAGTGGAGGGAGAGGCATGTTCCGCTAATTTCTTTCTAGTTATAAAAACAAAACAAAACATGCTAAAAGCTTTGTCTTGAATTTCAGTTATTAGTTATTTACTTGTTTTGGCACCCGTGGTGTATTACCTACAGCCTTTAAAATCCTAAGAAAGGATTGAGTAAAAAGAAGCTGAAAATACCGTGAAGTTTCCTCATTTTCTGTTGTGTAAGTGAAGACAGGAACTAGTGGAACTGGGACCAAGCACTTAGGTGAGGTGCACCTTACGCCATCAGGTGTGCTTTAAAACTTGCCAGAACAGCTCATTTCCAGAAATTTTGGAAAGAAACATGCCACTTGCATGCTTGTATGTGTCCTAGCTGTTCCCAGATTTTGATATATGGCGACACTGTATGGAAAGTTCTAAGGCCTCTTCCATTAGAACACAATTTATTTGGTTTGGGAATATTTGTCATGTGTGTAGCCAAAGTAGATAGGGTTTATCAGCTTTCCAGCTCTTACTCTTCATCTAAGTAACCTTTTCTGTCCTTTTTTCTGTATAGTAAGTATAAATTCAGGGCAGGAAGACAAGTGAATACTCTTTCTCTTATGGAGTTACTGATGCATGATATTAAATTGAACTTCTGATTTTCTGTATAAAAAGATAGATCTAAATGTAAAGTAAATATTTTTATTTATTTTTATTTAATGTTAGTATAGTAATAGCTGTCTTTTTCTAAAATCCTATCCTGGAAGGAAGGGATACTGTCTCCTCTAGATGTCTCTGTTTCTCTCCATTACGTACAGAGAGCTTGGGTGACTATCACGCTGGAGCTTAATTCTGAGACAGCTAAAATTAGGCGAGAAAAATTCTATTACTAAGGTTCATGGGGGAGAACATTTTCACTCTTCTTAATGCATAGTTACTATTACTGAACAAATGGAACTACAAAAGACACACACTAAATTCTCATAAAGCAAAACCATTGCAGCTCAGGCTTCTATTCAAACTCCCAGGACTCTGATACTGGAGTAAATTGAGTATATTTTTCAATATTGTCATAAGAGAATCACTTGAGAGGAACTTACTTTTGCAGGTTTATACAGAAATTCAAGCTCCATCTTCTCAGAAGTCCATTGAATGTTTTCTCTAATCTTAATGCAGTTACCAAGAAGAGCACAAAAGACAACCAGTCCTTCTCTGGCAGTAGTGAGTTGGAAGAGGTAGTAGTGAATCTGTATGAAGAGTTGGACGTAACCTGGCCATAACCACAGTGTTTGCAGTCAAAACATAAGGCAGTGATACTCTCTTATCCTATTGTTGGTATAGTTTTCCACAGTTGGACATAATAAATGAGGAAAAAAGGCAGGAACGCTGACATCAGTGGCAGCAAGGAAGATACTGGATTGACTGCTCTGCTTTCTTTGTTCCAGAATTCCAGCAGTGCTTCGAAGAACTCCTCTTTCAGTTGTGACAAAGGATCACGGCAAGTATTTCTTTCATATTTTCTGTAGTAGTGTCACATAATGCTGTGGTGGGTTTAGGTTTTGTTATTTGTGGTTGTGATTTCTGTGAGTTCAGTCTTCTGCAAGACATGCCCTGCTACGCAAGGACCATTTTTACAATCCCTGTCTGAGAAAACAACTGGACATACTTGCTGAGCTTACTTTTAACTTAATGACTGTAATCTTCTGATTATTCTATTAAGAAAGATAAGGTAAGGTGCCTGGTTGTGCCCTCAACCTGGAAAAGAAGGAGACATTAGCGTAAACAGTATCTGTAGACTAACCTGTGAGATTAACTGCGTTACATTGGTGTCTACTGCAGTTTGGGGACAGGTTTTGGATTCACTTCAGTGTTACTCAGAGCAGATTTCAAGATGGTATCTATCTGCAGTGTTTTATAGATCACTGGTGAATCTACCAATTTGTAAAGCATTTGCAGAATTCTACAGAAAGAGAGATTTGTGCAGGTATAAGTACCTACATGTTTTCTATTTAATTCCCAAATTTTTTGCACTAGTGTTTGTCGAAGTTGCTTGTATTCATTTTACTACTTTTCTACATGATTGTTTGCAGAGATTTTTTCACTATAGTTTTGATGTGAAGAACTCATGTTTGGCTAACTCCATTTGTGTACTGAACTGAATAATTTGAGCTCTGTAGGCATTTAATAAGTTATAATTGTAATGAAAATACTGGAAACATCAGATGCTTGACTGTATGAGGCCAAGTTGCAGTTTCTTCTCATTAATATGCTATGTTTGTTCTTGGCTGCTTTGCTCTGAACTGCCACATCTAATTTCTTCACAGAAGTGCAGACTTTGATCACATTATGGAGGAAGGCTATGAACTTGACCTCACTTACATCACAGAGCGGATCATCGCTGTATCCTTCCCTGCTAGCTGTTCTGAGGAAACTTACCTCCACAATCTACAAGATGTAACCCGAATGCTCAAATCCAAACATGGGGATAATTACTTGGTATGTGTAGGATCGGTCTTTTGTGATACATCTTCTGTCCTGCAGGAGTACCACTTGTAGGTCCACATATACCATTATAAACTAGAAGTCACTTATCTAAAGCCTCTTTGGTCCACCTTTACAGCTTTGCAAGCAAGAGCAAGATTTTCTGTAGTGTTTTAAGCTGTTAGGGAAGGACAGATACTAAAAGCAGTTTTCTGCTTGTGGCACTGCAGTCTTTATTGTGATAGCACATAGTCAAATGCTGTAGAATAATTGCACTGACTGCACTGACTGTTTTCATTGTCCAAAGCATGCTTTTAGAAGATACACACCCTGCAATGTGGAGTGCGTTCTTTTTTTCTAGCAGCCAGCTACATCTGGGTCCTCAGCTGGGTATCTGATGGTCTCTCACCATCATGTCTTGGCTGTCTCTACTGTATATTGTGAAACAACATATAAAAGTAGGGTTGGTGTTCGTGTGTTCTGTCCAGCTCTTTCTCATTAACTTGATTTAGGTGCATTTTTTTCCTGCTGTTTAGTTTTCTGTAGGAAATTAAGTTGTAAGCAAATCTGTAATGAGCTCTGTGTGCAGAATTTTTTTTTTTAAAAAATGATGACCCAAACTGTTAATCTCCTGTGCTGTTTTCTGGCTAGTGCATCTAAACCCTATGGTATGTATTGTCTCAGCTTGTTCTATGAAGGTGAATTTAAAACAAGGCCAATATTCTATTTACTTTTTTCTTCTTCTATCTTTTTAGTTAGTGTGTGTAAACTATTAGAATCAAATCCACGGCTTCAGAAGCATGGAACTTGACTCATGGTGGAAATTAGTTTCTGGGGAGATTCAACGTAACAATTTAAATACGTTACGTTTTGCTCACAAACCGAGGTGTCATAGATGCATTATGAAGCAGCTGTTGTCCTCAAGATGCACTTGTAATACTTGTAATGTGGTCTGATGTCCTCTGCCGCCTTCTTGCCCTTGGCTTCCCTTCCATCAGGCACTGGCAGCTTGTAAGGCACAAGACAGTAATAGTTTGAAGGTGACCTGTACGTAAAGCTTTACTGGTTCAAATTCACCTGTTCTCAGTGGCCTTTCCCATGTGACAGCAGCGTTTTGGTATTTGCAAAACAAGCTCGTAGTCTCAGTCCAGTTAAATCTCACTAAATACCTGTTTGTATTACAACAATCTGATATATGGTAAGTCTTGTTTAGGCTGCCCTTTCTCTAGGTGGGATTGCAGCCAGTTTCTCCTGCAAAGTTTGGATCTGTGTGGTTTTTTTTGATTTTTGTTTTAGTTTTGTTCTATTTATTTATTTATATTCTAATGAGTACTTTGGAAATCAGCTGGCTTGGTCAAAAGAAAGTTTGATGCTGTCTGCTCTAAGTATGTTTCTGCAAATTTGCAAGATAATCTGGCAAACCACAGCCAGGTTGTAGATCCAGAGAGCTCATTTTTAAACTATCTTTTGTTTCTCATGTTTCAAAGACCCCTTCAGTCTGCTCAAGAGGCACATGTATAGCAGCAGAACTCCCCCCCAAAAACCCCAGCCCCCCAAAAAAAAAGGTATGCAAGTGAGCAGTTCTGCTGAAGTTGATGAGAACAATTTTACTCTTTCATTGGGTCAGGGTCTCAGCTAGCAGAACGTATACTACAAATCAGTATTTGTCATTTCTTATCTATCTGTTCTAACTCCAGTTTTTTATATATGTTAAACTGTTGCCACTACAGTTGATAGTGAGGACAGAGAAGGGAATGATACACCCAAAGCATTGGGTGAGTGCATTGTTGTGTGTTTGAGTCTCAGTTTGTTATGAACAGGATGAACAAAAAAATCCTAAGTATCTCTCATCTGCTTTAGCGGTAGAGGATTATACTTTGACAGTCTAAGACCAGAGTCCTTTATGGAGAGATGGAAGCCTGTCAATAGCTTACAGTAAATTTTTCTCTGCTTTGTTGTCCTAAAAAAAAAAAAGCTTCCCAGAAGGCTTTGGTTCCTAGAAGAAACGTGACTTTTCTCCAACAGAGAAAAACTTCCAAAACTGAATTTTTGTAGTATCTGTGTAGTACTTTCATCAATTTATTCTGTTCATATGTGTGTGGCCTTGGTCAATAAGAGGGAAGTCACATTATGTTGAAAAATTCAAGATGATGTTACTCCAAAAGAATCCAGTGATGTGTCAAAATTCATGTAGAGTTGTAAAAACCTGTTCTTTAAATGCTGATAGGCTTTAGAAATTGGCTGTTATAAGAAGCGAACTTTTATGTCAAAAATAGCAAAAGACTTTTTCAGTCATAGAATAGAATCATGGAATCATTTAGGTTGGAAAAGACCCTTAAGGTCATAGAGTCCAACCGTTAACCTAACACGACCATGTCCACCACTAAACCATGTCCCTTGTCCACCACTGTCCCTAAGTGCCACATCTACACATCTTTTAAATACCTCGAGGGATGGTGGATGGTGCACTTCCCTGGGCAGCCTGTTCCGATGCTTGACAACCCTTTCGGTGATGAAATTTTTCCTAATATCCAATCTAAACCTCCCTTGGTGCAACTTGAGGCCATTCCCTCTCGTCCTTAAGTTGTTATTGTTTTATATTAATCAGGAGTTAAGAATCTCTGGATTAGACAGAGAAAAGAAAGAAATGAGAGAGAGAAAATATTCCATAACACATTTGTTTAAAAATAGTTTTTAAAGTGGCCAAGAAACAGTAGTGCATTGATATGTTTGCTTTCATGCAGTGTATTTTCATTGACAGATTATTTCTGGAACAAATGTTTATTTGAAGACCCAAACCTTTCAAAGTAAGGAGATTTAAAGGATAGAATGAAGCATCCTTTTATTCTCTAATAAATTCATCTCTTGGTTACAAAGGAATGCATGTGTTATTGCAGGATTCAAAGGCTTGATTCCAAGTGAATGCTGTTTTACACCAGTACTTTCAAAATACACACAGTGCAAACATCTGTCAGAAAGCAAAAAACAGTTTAAATGACACAATTGCTGCGTCAACTGAAAAACTCAGTTTGCAAAAATAAATTCACCATTATGTTACCATTTTGATCAACTTCATCAGTAGTGTATTTGTCACGCTATTTTGACTGAAACATTTGCCATGCTTTGCACTTGTAGGAGAGGAGTAATGCTCAATTGTTCAGATATTTTGAGCTTTTAACAAAAAAATCCATTATAAGCTTGTCTGTATACTTGTCTGATTTTATGCTCATTTCCTAAAACTGAACGATTTGGTATTTTAAATAGATAAATATGTATGTTATTTTCAGTGTCTCTAACAGGCTTTATTGCAGTGTTATTACTTACGGTTGTCAAAGCAGTTCTCGGTGTTGATTTAGAGCAGTGATAAATGAGCAAGTTACCTTATTGCTGTTGGCTGCTGTATTAGTGTGCTTCAGTTACATTTTTGTATCCACAGTGACTGAAAGGTAATCAAGTTTTTTAAGGAGTAAACTATTCTAAATTAGCTCACTGGTTAGAGAGGTATCTACATCGGGGCATACAGAGCAGCTGATGAACAGTAACTCATTTATGTCAAAGGCATTAGGAATCTGACAGTAAATACTGTTGTCTAAATTCATAGTCGGTTCTTTTTTAAAAGTGAAACAAACCCCAAACCCGGTGCTACCATTTACAAAAAGATTTCAGTGGTTACACTGCAGTCTTAGCATATACATATTTGTTACTAGGTTAGACTAATATAACTGCTGTGCATTTTCTTGGTCTTGCATATGTAAATGATATGGTAATGCTTGTGTGTTGCTGTTGCTTTACTAGTTGGAACTATTTGTTAATTTTAGCTTATGTCATGTTTTGGCCACCTTCCTCTTTGCCCTGCTCTTAACTCAAGGCTACCACTGTTTTCAGCAAGCAAGTTTGGTCCCACCCGGTAGAAGAGTTTTGCCTGCCTGCTCTCCCAGTCAGTTTTCCTTAATGGAACGGGCTGTAGGCTGGTGAATTGTTTCTCAGTCAGTACTTTGTGTCATATGACCACAGTATATCTTTCACTTTCCAAACTTGCCAGCTACGTGCTATTTGTTTCTGTTCTTTAGCATGAGCTTTTGTATTTCTGGTCATCTGATTCAGGAGCAGACCAAATCTAAGACCCTTTAGTACCTTCATAAAGGTCTCTTCTCCAGCTAAAAGGTCTCCTTATTTTTGTTCTGTGGTGTTGCTGAGCATTCAGCAGAGTGAGAGAATATTATCTTCATAGTACAAGTTACTTCCCAGTTCAGGATTAAATCATATGGGAAGGGGGAGGGGGATGTTTCCTCTCTGCTGTGTATAAGGAGGAAGGGTTTATTTTTCCCCACTTGTTTTATCTTACTTCATTTTTATTCTTTATATGAGGTCTTAAAATTTAGGGCAAAATCTGTAAAGTTTCATAGAACTAAAGGCTAATGCTCCTCTTTCTTGTACCAAAATATCAGTAAGTAGACCTAGGATATGCCAACAATGGGCTAAAAAGGATGCAGTTAATCTTTCACTGACATCTATTTATAGCATATGCTTCTCTTCAAAGACTTCTGTGACCTCTTTCTGTTGTTGTATGTGAAATGTTGGTTCCTGTAGTGACAAATACCCATCATGAACAGCACTGTATCCTGACACACAGGAATTTTAAACTGATCTTACATATAAATTCAACAAGAAAGATGAATTAAAAAAAGTTCTCACCAAATGGCATTTTTTTTTCTGTGGAAAATTTTACATAATTGATCTCTTAACATAGCTTTAACACTAATTTTAAGAATTCTGTACTGAGAAATACAACTCTCCACTAAATTGTTTTGCAAATATTAAGACTGATAGAAAATTACAGAAATTTTTGTGAGTCATTTGTATAAGACAGTTCTGGTTTCATTCCTGTTAAATTACAGTTGGTATTTCTGGAAGGATAACTATAGTCCTAATTGTAAATGTTGATACATCTTCCTAATCCAAAATAATACCGACCGTGCACATATGAATTTTTGATTGCTATTTAGCTCTTCAGCAGTAATCTGTTTAAAATGCACACAATATATTGGAATAAAGAGATTATACATATAAATACAACAAGAAAGATGAATAAAAAAAAGTTCTCACCAAATGACATTTTTTTTTTTCTGTGGAAAATTTTAGGTAATTGTTTTCTTAACATAGCTTTAACACTAATTTTAAGAATTCTGTACTGAGAAATACAACTCTCCACTAAATTGTTTTGCAAATATTAAGACTGATAGAAAATTACAGAAATTTTTGTGAGTCATTTGTATAAGACAGTTCTGGTTTCATTCCTGTTAAATTACAGTTGGTATTTCTGGAAGGATAACTATAGTCCTAATTGTAAATGTTGATACATCTTCCTAATCCAAAATAATACCGACCGTGCACATATGAATTTTTGATTGCTATTTAGCTCTTCAGCAGTAATCTGTTTAAAATGCACACAATATATTGGAATAAAGACCATGTTCCTCATCATATAAAGATGTTTCATGCTTTCTTTTGGTCAATGAAAGTGGTGTATACCCTTTATGGTCAATATCGTGTGATTCCAGAACCTTATGTAGCTTAAAATAGAAGCTGTTTTCTTGGGTACCTTGTTAATTTGGGGTTTTCTTCTTTCTCTGGATGAATTTCTTGTTCAAAAGTGTATTTTTTCCTAAAGATGGCGTAATGTCTTCCTGCTTCCACTGTGTCCGTGATGGGGTTGCACATCCAACTTAAGTACTGCATCAGTGAGCAGCAGGCACCAGCTTCTAGAAGTGAAATGATGTAGTTTCTTTAGCCTGTCCAGTTCTTGGCTTCTTTGTTGAGACTGCTGATGAGCGCTGGTTAATGCCAAATGGGATGATACACTTTAGAAAAGGGTTCTTAAATTGTCCTTGGATAGTAATAAACTGTATAATGGACTTATCTCTCATATTTACTATTTCTCATATTTATGGTCTGTTTATCCCATTCTGGCAGTGTAATGAGACTTTTTAAATGATTATGAATGTCATCTATACTTAACTCATTGTGATGTGAAATAGCCACACTATGAAAGAGAATCTGCCTCAGTACCGTTGTTTCAGTTGTTGAGTATTGATATTTCAGCTTTTTGTTATTGATACTGATTTAAAGTACTTCCTAATGAAAGAGTCAGATATACTTGTATACACTGCTTTATTTTTTTATGTTCATTTAGCAGGCTCTTTAACTGTTCCTTATTAAGCGCTAAGTGTATGATAAGTTACTGTCTAATGGGTTAACAGAAGAGTTGGAAGACCTCACAGGCTAAGCTATAGTAAAATAGCTATGCCATATCCTCCCTGTGAAGTTTTGACAGACCAATATTTTCTTGCCAGGCACTCAAATTCAAATATTTAAGACTACCACCCCCCCAGACTTTTCTTTGTTAATTCTTATGCTGTGTCGTTACTTTGTGTGGTGCCCATGTCTCTCAGTATACCTCTGACTAAAATAAAGCCATGTGAAATAAATAAAATGTAACAGAATTTTAATTATCCTTTTTCAAAATGTCCATTTGGTTTCACCTTTAGTTTCATTGTATAATAACTGAATACCTAAAATACATTTGCTAGCCGCTACCTGACTTCAAATGTTAATTTAGTTAATTTTACTAAACAGTAGGCAAACCTGAAGCCTTACCACTGTAGTTTCTTGTAATTATCATGTGTTTCAAATACAGCTATTTACTACGTAAATTATAAAGTCTTGACAGTTGATATTCTTTTCTTTCTTTCTGAACAGGTGTTAAACCTCTCTGAAAAGAGATACGACCTTGCCAAGCTTAACCCAAAGGTATTGATTGTCTTCCATAACATACCTCTCTTTCTAGTGTTAAATACAACTTAAATGGCCTGGTAAGCCCTGAAGCTATGCAAGCATTGATATACAGAGTAAGAGAACAACTTTTGGAAGATGATAAAAACCCCCACATGCGTCCCTTTTTATTTTTTTCCCAAGTTCTATTTTGTGTCTGTTAGGTCTGTGCTTTACGTAGCCGTTCCTGTTGTTTTCTTAGGCTTTGCACACAGGACCTGAAGCCCGTTGTGACTACTGAAAAATTCCTATTGAGTGATAGAAATTTTACTCCAAGTATACTTTCTTTGTGCAGTCACAGGATACTAGGGGTTATATACTGTAATGTACAGTCCAATAGCTGAAGCTAGTGAACTCGGTTCAGATGTAGACTTCCCTTTTGTACTATCTTTTCATAGTTGCTTCTCTGCACAACAGAGACATAAGGAAGGGAGGTATTGATGTCTGTCTTTTGTTGCTCCTCACCAATTGTTGTATTTGTTTGTTGTAAAAAATGATATGCAGGTACTCTTCAGCAGCTATTATAAGGCCAGAGTAGCACAGATGTATATTTATAGCAGTAGATTTACAGGGATATATGCTACCTGAGGAAAATATTAAAAGAACTCTTAATTTTGACCTTTTGAATGCTTTATTGATCATGAAGGATTTAAGTTTTTCATGGTTACTGGTCTTGTTAAGGTTAAATATGCATAAAATAATAATAGATTGAGTAAACAGTATTATATAGTGACTAAAGTTGAATAGAAAATATGAACAAAATTTTGAGATGTCAAATCTGTTGCACGTGAAGGAAATAAATTGCAAATTAAATAAAAACAATTACAAAATACTGGACCAGGCCAGTTAACATTCTTTGTTCTATTTTTGACCTTCTGAATATTTTACCATTATAAAATACCTGGATTTCTAATTGAAAATTCTTTAAGAAATGAAGATCTTTAGAAATGTTGTACTTGTGAGTGGTTCGTGGGGTTTTGTTTCTTTTTATAAAAGTACTAGCATCTTAAAAAACCCAAACAAATCCCCTTCTTCCCCTTAAGAGACCTGTAAGCATATTTTAGTTACATCATGGCATTCGAATGACATGATTATCTGGCGTTGGCAAAAATGTGGAGACTCTTCACCATCACAATTATTTAAAGCCAGATTTTAATATGTAGTATTAGGGTCAAGGTGTCTCTTGTGAATATTAGTTGTTTAATTGCAGATTATGGATGTGGGGTGGCCTGATCTCCATGCTCCGCCTCTCGATAAGGTATGCACCATCTGCAAGGCTATGGAGTCATGGCTGAACAGTGATCCTCAACGCGTGGTGGTGATCCATTGCAGAGTAAGTGAGCTTTGTGTATACACGTCACCTGTCAGTTTGTATTCATTTTCAAAAACCTTGTCCTTTATTCTTACTCATTTTAAAAAATAAAAAAAGAAGTTTCATCTGTTTTCGATGTTGGAAACTGCGTGCCAAATCTTCAGTTGATTTAAGTAAGCTTAAATCCACTGACTTTGCATGCTTGTTAATATATTGCCTTTTATGATAACTAAGTTTCTAGCCTCTGCTCTGGGTATAGCATGCAGCGATGTTAGTTCGTTTCCTTCAGAGGTCAGTGCTACTTCTGTGAGTGTATTAGAAGCTTGAGGTTTTTCCAGCTCAATAGCAGATTCTTTAGAAGCTCTTCATGTTCTGTGACATTCACGGGTTTTGTTGCGGGAGAAGTATAGGCAACATATCACAGCTCATCCCTTTAGACTGTGGTATGGTTGTAGGAAATGAGGGCACGAAGTACTTCCTGGGTACTTCTGACAGGTTCTAACTGCCAGCATCCATTGTGGTGCCTTACAGCAAAGCTACAATGAAGAGAAATAAAGAGAAGCCTTAATTAAATACAGATAAAATGAATTCAGAACTGAGTTGGTAGCTGTGCTGCTGACACTCGAGGCAAATCTGTTTCTGTACCACTGGCAAATGTTACTCTAAATAGAATGAGGGTTATAATGGGACCAAAACTTATCTTTGAGTCAGTTTGTATAGTCCCCAGTCCTGAATTGCTTGCAGGCAGAATGCCGTGACTGTATGAAACACTATTGAATTCTTACAAGTTGCAGGACTGCAACCAGGAGAATGACCCATACATGGGACAAAACAAAAGGGGGCATTGTATTCCTAGGTATTTTATATTCAAATTGGTAATGCATATTGTTGATTAATGCCTTTCAGTAATGACTTTAAAGTTTCCAACCATGAAGATAGATACAACTATTTGTATCAGCTGAGAGACTGAAATTGTTTTGAAACCTGTGAGAATTACCGCTTGGTAAATTGTACTGAATTTATGTCATGTAAATTATTTAATAAAATTTTGGAACATTTTTTAAATTATCCATAGAAAAATAAGTAGTAGTTGTTAAAAATCTCAGGCGCTGGGGAGGTAAAAATGCCCAAACCTGTCGGAAACTCATATGCTTTCCAAAATAGGTATTTTATAGTATTTCATGCCAGAAATTGCAACATTGTCTAGACTTGTCTTGAATGATCACTGGAAAAAGTAATATAAAATTAGAATAGTTGATACAATGTTGCTACTACCGGTCAAGATTTTTTTTTTTTTAATAATTTCCTCTCAGTAAGACTTGACAGGCATGCACATAGAAATCCTACTTAGTGTTTATGTCACTTGTCAGCCAGCTTACATAGACAGACACGCTGCTGCCCATCATTGCCACCTTTCCAACAACACAGGAGATGCATGAGCAAAAGGACTCTCTGAATCTCCTGTCTTAAAGTTTTGTTTAGTATGGGTCTTAAATAAAATAATGCCCAATAATGTAATAAATTAAATAAGTTATCATTCCTTTTTCCTAATGCAGGGAGGAAAAGGAAGGATAGGCGTAGTCATATCATCATATATGCACTTCACCAATGTTTCTGCAAGGTAAGTTGTGAATAATGCATATTGTGTATTTTTTACAATTAAGGAAACATCAGAAAAAGATGCCTTTTAATTGTAGTACTGTTTGTCAGCTTACTGTTTGTCAGTTAAGGTTTGTCCAGTTTTCTTCTCAAAGAGTCTTGGAGCATATCTTAAAACAGCCTGCTTTCATGAGAGAGTTTTCTTGTGGTCCTGCTTTCAGCAGGAGGTTGGACTAGGTGACACCCTAAGGTCCCTTCTAATCTGAGAGATATTCAGATTCTGTGGGAAAATTCTCTAACGGGTCTTTCGAGATGAATGAAGAAATGTGCAAGAAACCATTTTTATATAATGATACCATCTTTATTCTATTAAACCCATCTATTGGCCACATCCATCAAGTTGCCTCTTTTGAATCAGTGAGAAACTATTCCTAAAGTACTTAAGGAAAACAGTTATTAGAATCTGGAATCAATATTTGAATAGGGAATTCCTAGACACTGATCAAAGTACAGAATGCAGTTTAAGAAATAATCTAGACTTTATCGTGCAGTCAGTTCAAACAATAGGTGTCTGATTACTTGGTTTTAATTGTTTCTTTTAGAGTACTCAGATTACGAAATGTCAATTGACAGTTTATGTCAACAAAGATAAAATTTGATAAATGGTCTCAAAAAGATGAAATGTATTTTGTTTTGGGCTTTTTGTTTGGTTTTTAATCAAATTGTTTTCTCTTGGTCTCTTTTCTATATACATATATAAATGCATTAAAATAAAAATGCACTGTAAAGGCCATTGTTAAATCAAATTTAGTTCTGAATTCACACCAGTCTGTCAGTAATAGATTTGATTCAATACTGTAGTGGATGAATTCCTGAATCGGTATAGGCTGATGGCAAATTACTCATGGATTTCAGTAAAACCAGCATCTCAGAAAAATAATCTGTGTTCACTCTGGTAAGCCTGATCGACAGGTAATTGTAGACTAAGAAATTAAGTGCATTATACACACCAATATGTGCTGACAGAATAAAAATATTTATCTTCAAGTAGTAATTGGGACAGTGATTGCCACAATTTTATAATACTTTCTTGAGAAATATTGTGTATGACAAAATCTGTCAAGTGAGGATAGTACAGTACTGTGTTGTGATCTCAGTGTTGCATCTTTTCCTTAAAGGTGGTACCTGGCTATAAATACATTTTAGTAATGCCGTAACAGAACACTACCTGGTTGTGATTGTAAAGCCCAGCGATAAAAGGTGTCATCTTTTACCCTAAACAAATTCAGGATTCCTCCAGTGAGGTTTCAGGGGAGGAGTTAGTCTGGAAGCCCTCCTTTAAATTTCTGGATATTTGTCAGCTCCTATCCAAAACTTAACTTTTCTGTGTAAGAATGAGGTTGGGGAAGTTTCCCAGCTAGGATTTGTATATCCCTAGCATTATCAAGAGTCTTCAAAATGGTACATGGCAACCTCACAGAAGCAGAAATTACTGCAGGTGCTGCTGCTGAGGGTGCCAGCTGCTGTGTCAGAAATGATACGTGGAAGACTTTGAGGATGTTCACGCTAAATAAAGTTCCTAATTGTCTGCAGACACATGCCAAAAAATCTATGCTTAGTGAAAAAGCCTTATGATGCAAAACCCTTTTGGCTATATGTTATAAATATCTGATTTTCTCATTTAGGGAAGGAATAATGTGCCGTCAAATTTAACGAGGGCAAACAGAGTTCTTTTGTAGTAGTTGGTAAACTGTTTTAACAAGTAAAGTACTAGCTAGCAGTCTTTGGCTAGTTACGAGTGGGTTGCCTAAATTCTGGGTGGTAATGTGGTGAAGTTGTATGAAGATGTATGATGGGTTGGGTGAAGAAGAGAGTTTTTGGATCAAGGATATTTGAAGCACACACTATGTAGTCTTTAACATCCATGAAGAAAAGGCATGACTCTACAGCCTGATACAGCACCCCGTCAAGACAATTGGTAACTTCTGATTAAATTTTGGAAAAGGTATAAATTCAATTTTTAGCATGATATGCATATGTATACTTTGCACAGTTTTTTTACTTGGAACTCATTTAGGTTGAACCAGATGTGGAATTTAAAATTTGAGATTCCAGAGTCTAATTATTTTGAAACTTCTGCTTCTTTTATGTCCTGATGTTAATTAACTACATCTGTTGAGACACATTGTTTTTATCTGATATAGATACAACAGAATCAGCATAGCATGTTACTTGGCATATGTGATTAACAGCATTCTTACTGATTTTTGGCACTTCTATTTCTTTTTTCTATACCCTCTTGCCTTCCTCCACACAGATGCAGAAGACCCACATCAGAGCCATTCCGGATAGAGAACGGAAGAAAATGTATTTTTCTGAATATGTTGCTCCTTAACTGTGTGTTTGAAGAGTTTGTGGTTGTCTGATGCAAAACATTTCTTTTTCAAAGATTGACACTTTTATTTTAAACATTCTCTTCCTTGGTGGCTCAGGGCACAGGAAACAAAAGACTGAATGAATTATTTGACTGCTTAAATGATCCTCTAGCCCGGCATCCTTTGCACCTCATGTACTGTACTACAGTCAGAGCTAGGCAGTGGTTTTCACCTCCATAATGTTGCTGCTGCTTTTTTAAAAAGAGAATAAATCTGTGTTTCGCAGAGAGAACTCCCCAGTGGCACTCTCAGGAAATTATGGCAAGTATCCTTCTTTTGCAGCCTGAGCTGCTTGGCTTTGCTAAAGTTTATTGCATTATAACTTTAACATATTCACGTTGGAAATATGCAGTCCAGTTAATTGAATAAGGCAGTAGGTGCTTTGCCTCAGGAAGGAAACTGCCTTAAGGTGTGGAATGAGAAGGTGTCAGTGGAAAAAACATTCTTGTCTGACCTGTAAGTGCCAGAGTTGCTAGTTAGGTGCTTCTTTCTTTTCTTTTTCCTTCCTTTCCTTCTTTTTCCTTCCAAGTATTCTGGCATATTTCAAGCGGTAACCTGCTGAATTTCCAAGATAACCCTGAACTGGAATAACATGGTATCTGTGTCTCTGTTTTGACAGTGCTGATCAGGCTCTAGACAGATTTGCTATGAAGAAATTCTTTGATGATAAAGTTTCAGCTTTAATGCAGCCATCCCAAAGAAGGTATTTAATTTGTCTCTTAATTCATACCAATAAGAAATGTCGTTATCTTCTGCCCCCATTCCTTACTCCTTCTCCTGCTACATGAAGGCTATTTCCACAGGATCCTCCAGTGATTCCTGAACTCTCAGCACTTTATCTTATATTAATGTTCCTTGATTGATGAGATCTCTCCTTCAGTTCCTGCACGTAGCTCAAGATAGATAAGACCTTTTGTACCACGCTGTTATCTACATGTGTTCTTACTGTATTGTTTGTTAACAAAAAGAGATGTCACAATCTGTTTTCTTGATTGCTCCAAGATAATAATAAACTCATTTTTCTGTGGCATAAATGATGTGTATGGAATGTGTGTTGATTAGTGTGCCGTAAAGATCCTATTACCACTTGTTTGGAGGATCTGCAGGTTATGTGTCTGCCCCATGTCCATGCTAGTAAATGTTTGTCAGAGCATGCATTATTCATTCTGTCTATATGGATGTCTTACCTTTTCAGTCTGTCTGCATGAATAAAGTTGAGTTAGGACTCAAAGTAAGCAGTTTGGAAAGTGAATAGTTCTGGGGTTCGTTATTTACCTCATTTTGACAAGAGGTAACGAAGGATTCAGTACCAAAAGAGATTGATATCCATCAGACAAGTAATTGTGATATAGGTGAATCTTCTTTTAGAAACATAAAATATCAGCTGGATTTGATTTAGTAATTACTGTTTGGTTTTGGTCTTAATCAGCACCTATACAGTAGGCTTTTTAGAAGTTGTTTAATGGATAAGGCTTTGCTAGTAATTAAACTAGAAAAATAAGTAGTAACGACGAGCATAAGGCATTTGGTTCTGTTAATCTCTAAATAAGAAAAACTTTTCCGTTACTTCTTGAACCCATTTGGTGACCTGCACAGCTCTTTTTCATTTGAAAAATAGTAACATAGCATTCCATTAGACTTGGAATAAACTTTTCATAACTAGAAGTTTACTGGCCTCTTTTTTTTTTTCAATGCATATATGTGTATTTCATTTTAATAATAAGGATTTGAGAGTGGTGCCTACCAGATAGAGAAGTGTGAACTGTAAGAGTAAAAGGAAATAGATGTTCTTAATCTTCCCATCAAGAAGCCTTATGCAGCAGGCATATTTCCATGAGAGCCAGGGACCCTCACAGCAGCCTCTGTGAATTGTGCATCAGGGCAGTTTTTACAACCATGTTGACAGGAAGCTTCAGTAGCTACTAACTCGGGTGATCTGTATGAGAGCCCTAAAGCTAGAGATGAAATAGATGTAAATGGTGGTATCTAGCTTTCCTACTCTCTTCAAGGACACTTGCTTAATTCTTCTGGGGGGCAGGGAGGAAAGTCTCAGAGAAACTCAGTTCACCTCCTGACTGATGGAATTAGCATCTTTGCTCAGCAGTACAAAACTCGAGCTGCTCTTACCGTCTTCCAGACACGTGCACACACAGGTACTTTGGAGTGCCATTCCCCATGAGAACAGAGGAGGTTCTCCAAACCATTTGTCAGAACCATTCTCCTCCTGAACCTGGCCTTTCCTACCTTTGCCTGGCCTGGCAGTGGCTACTGATCCTATTGCAGAGAAAGGAAAACCAGCTCTGTAATATTTTTGGGTAATTTTATAATCCTTTTTGATCCCATTTTGATCAGTTAGTGGCTTGAATCACCTTTTTAATGTGCTTTTTCTCTGAAACCATTCTTGGATAATTAATTAGCAATGTCCTTGTTAAAATCCAGTTGATGTATAAACAGGTATAATTTAGGTGAATATCAAAATGACAAAATTTGAAAATATACCCATTATTTGTATTTTGAAACCTTTTCTCCGCTAAATTTTGTCCAGAAAAAAATAAATTGTGGCCATTAAGTGCATCAGTCCTGAAAATATCACTTAGCTGTTCCCCACTGCTAGTTGGATGCTGTAACAGTGGCAAGAAAAGCAACTATAGACCAGATGTCCTATTCTGAATCCATTCTGACAATATTTAAAATGGATACTTATTCTCAGATAAACAGATGAAGGTTTGCCTGAATAAGAAGTGCAGATACAGACGCTTCATATTTAAAAATTTCTCATAAACCTTCAGGATAAGTCTTTGAACACGCTACTCAAAAATAACCAAAGTGCCTATAAGCATCTTAAATGCACTGCCTTGAGAAAGGTGTTCAAATATTCAGTCAAATTTTGGAATAATTAAAAACAGGTAGTGGTAGAGAGAAAATATTCAGACTGAGAGGTCACTGACAAACTGTTTTACCACACTGTTTTTTGTCACGTAGCACTGAGAGGTCACTGACAAAGTGTTTTACCACACTGTTTTTTGTCACGTAGATGTGACAATTTGTAAATTTGTGCTTTTGATGTACCAAATATTTTCAGAAAGACTGAAGGAGGAAACCAAAAAGCAAAGTTGTCTTTTCTTAACATTTCAAAATAAAGTGAACTTTGCTAGGTGTCTATAAAATGAAACCTATTTTAAACCACCACAGCCCCCATTCTGGGGTAGTAAAGCTGTCATCATTGGGCAGGATATCTTTAGTCCTTGTGTTACCAGGAGCGTGCAGTAAGGGATCGGTTAGAGATCTGTGAGTAAAGGGGGAAAAAGAGGTGATTTTCTTTTTTCTGTACATTCCTGAGAGTGAAGTTAAATGAAGGTTGTGTCATGGGCATGGAAGAAAAAGGGACTCAAATCCAGTAGAAAAATTAAAGGAGACTGATTTCCCTTGGTTATTTAAGGAGATAGGAGGAATTTGTTTAACACACACTGCAGTGATGTTCACTTGCATGTACTTGCTCGTGAGCTTGTGACCAAACCAGGTATTAAATAGCAGAAATACAATGATTTTCATGTTGCTATGGTAGTTTTCCTCTGTTTGGTGCTGAATGAGATCGCTTCTCATTTTCAAGATGTTATTTGCCTGCATTGGCCTTAACGCTAAGATTTCTGGCAAGGGTACTTCTTGCTCTTGTTTTAATGCAGTGTGCTTCACTGTAGATGGAATGGGACCCATGTCATGCTGCTGTGAAAGCCAATTGAGACCTTCAGTTGCAATTAGAAATGTATACCAAAATGTTTGACTTTACTATCTCTGCTAGTTCCTTTCTTATTTAGAGTATTGATGTAAATAACCAAAATGAAGACATCAACAATAGCAATGTAACAGCCATGCATTTAATAAAGTGGTAAATTAAACTGTCTTTTCGTGCTGTTTTGTGAAGATTATTCTTTTGGAGTTATGTGTAATATCACAATGCTATTCATTACCCATGGCCTAGAAATATTAATGTGTAAAGAATGTATTTCCCTGATATGATTGCATTACTGTTTTTATTGAATTCAGATACATTTTATATTTTTAGATACGTGCAGTTCTTAAGTGGCCTTCTATCTGGATCTGTGAAAATGAATGCAACCCCTCTTTTCCTGCACTATGTTATCCTTCATGGCATCCCAAGCTTCGATGCTGGGGGAGGTAAATTACCTAACTTTTCCTATCCAAGTGTAGGCTCAAAGTCTTGTTTTATTTTGGAGCTTTCTAGAAAGCCTGCATGAATCTCAAAGTAGAGTTCATGCTCCTTGCTAGCAGTCCAAATATTCCCAATAAAAGAACCAGGAGAAGAGAAATATCCTAAGAGTAAAAATTACAGCAGATGAAATAAAGTTCTTGTCCTTTGTTAAATGTTGATGCTATTCATGTCTGCCTAGTTTCTGAACAGTTGTGATACCATTCCCTGCAAAAGAGTTGAGAACCTGGTCAGGTTTCACAGTAATTTCCTCCTTGTTTAGGAAATAAACATAATCATAAGTATAATTTCTTTTCTGTTTTGAGATTGGATTTTCTGTAGAAAAACTATTTGGATATGGTGTGCTTCTAAGGTGGCCTGCTATAATAAGTGGCTTTAAAATTAAAATGCTAAACCAAGATACTGTGCTAGAGCATAGTAAAGGAGTATAACTCTGTATTTTTATCATCCGAGAGTTAAATAGCACCTGTCTTTTGAAATGTCATCAGCATGAATTTGCAATGCTTCATTGTCATTGTGTTTAGTCTGGTTTTATTTCTAAAATAACTATTTGAATAAAGACAAGGTATTGTTTGTTGTATTAAGAAAATTAAACAAAATATTTGATCTACAGTTTTGTTTCGAAACTTAACTTGTTTTGAAACAAAACTATAGATCAAATATTTTGTTTAATTTTTAAAATGCTTTTTATTTTGTTTTGGGGTTTGGTTTTATTTTTTCTTGTTTTGTTTTGGCCATTCTCTTTCTTCCCTTAATAATTTTGTTTTCCTGCAGAAAAAGTGGGAAGGAAGGCAGACAGACATTTAATAAGGAGCAAAGAGTTCCCTCTTTCTTTCCTTATCGGAATCCTTTAAAATTCCCTCCTCCCCAATTCAGAACTAGTCTGAAGATTAGGAAAAAGTGACTTTTTCATAAAATACAATCAAATACTTTTTTTGGAGAAAAGGAATCTGTCAAAGCCAATTTTGCTTTGAAGGATATTTTGACAGTCAACTTTGTGCCACTTGTGTGCCACTTTGCTCAGTCTGCATGTGCATAAAGCTTCCTAGTTGTAATATTCAGATAAAGGAAAATAATTACAAAACAGTCTTTTCTGTTGACTTCTTTTCAGCTTGCCGGCCTTTTCTGAAGTTATACCAGGCTATGCAACCAGTTTATACATCTGGAATATAGTAAGTAGTAAGCATTTTCCTTTATGTTTGAATCCAGGTTTTATTTTTCATAATTGCTGAATTACATAGTCTTTTTTCTTTTTTTGTTTTTTGTTTCTTTAAACCACAAATTTTATTTTTCTTTTCTCTCCTGTTAAGTAGTGTAGGGCAAGAAAATCAAAGCCGAATCTGCATTGCTATAGACCCTGCCCAGCTTTTGAAGGGAGATATTATGGTAAGTTAATTGTATGGAATGAAAATCTAGTACTGTGCCATTTAGTTTACAGTCTCTGACCTGTTTTGCATTCTTGTAAAAAAATAAATTGAGCAAATGGTTGCAGACATACTACAAAATAGGTTAATTTAGTCATCATCATTTATAGGAATCAAAATTCCTATAAAACTCAAACTAGAAGGTTTTTAGGAGCCAAAACAATTGCTCTCAGCAGTCCCATTTCATAGCATCACCAAGTGCAGTAAGGCCTGTTATAGTAATTGCTCTTTTCTTTATAAAAATTGCTTTGTGGAGTATTTGTAACTCGGCATTAAAATACCCTTGTCCTGTAACTTGGCAGGCAACGTGCACAATCGTGAAACTATATGCTGTAAAGAAAATACCTAACTAATTCTAAATCGTTTTGGGACTCAAAAAGGTGTTATACCAAATAAAAGCTTTCTGATTCTACAAGCACATGCAGTATTTAGAAAGCAATTTATATGCGCTAATATAGTGCATATGATTCCCTGTGTGCAAAGCATAACTATAGTTGAATTGCAGCCCTATCATTTTAAATTTCTCTGCTTTCTCTCTTGCTTGTCATACACAGTTATGCACAGAGAAAGTAAAGATAGATAGTTCCCATGCCTTTCAATTTGTTAAACTAAGAGGACAGAAGAACATGTGTAATGAATGGTGGGGGGAACTATTGTCAGAAAGTATTCCTGGTCTATTGCTAGTAGGTTTCAGAATGTTTTTTTATTTTATGTACTACTTTGAGAAATGTGGACCTCAATGTAAGGGGTCCTTGGTATGAGAGTCGTCTTTTTTCCCCTTCTTTTATTCTTTCTTTTGAAATAATCTTTTTTATTATCCTTCCTCCTTCTCCCTTTCCTATTTCCCCTCCCCATTCAGTTTAGTATATTATTCTTCCTTTCTTTCACTGAAAAACAGAGAAAAAAATTTTAAATACACTGTTATAAATTGGTATATTCTGGAGGTTTGGGACAGTTTCAAATTCAGGAAGATTTGTTACACATCAGAGGATATTGATGGAGTGACCAAATCAGTGGACACGGGAAGGGCTACAGATGTCGTCTATCTGGACCTCTGTAAGGCCTTTGACACGGTCCCCCACAACATCCTTCTCTCTAAACTGGAGAGGTGTGGATTTGATGGGTGACTGTCCGGTGGGTGAGGAATTGGTTAGATGGTCACATCCAGAGGGTAGTGGCCAATGGCTCAATGTCCAGATGGAGATTGGTGATGAGTGGCGTCCTG